ACATTAAAATTCAGTAAAATAGAAGACAAATGAAATAGAAAGGAAGCCATTTCATCTTAATTGAAAGGTTCCGGTTGTAAAAGCCTCTAAATTTCAAATGGAATAAGAAATTTAAAGTCATAAAAAATAATCCAAGTATATCCTAAGTCAGATAGGCTACTTTGAAGGGTCCCATTAAATTTTCAGGGCTAAAAAAAAATGGCCCTCTAACATTTAAATTTATTTTATAATTTATTTGAATATCTTTTCATAATTTTTGTGTAAGTGGATCAAAAACATTATAGTCTGATGAATTAATTAACAATGATGAATATTTGTGGTCAGTTCTATTAGATGTTATTGAGGTTATAGTATCAGAAATGGTCTCTGTCCTCCAAGAGTTTTATATATAATATATATGTATGTATGTAATATATATATATATATGTTAGGGATAAAAAATGACAAACAAAATTGTAAGTAAAACAATATAAAGTGATAGATTGTGTGCTGCAGTTTATAAGAGTTATTGGAATGCAGAAGAAAGTAAGGAGTTCAATTAAGGGAAGGCTTCAGGGAACTTTATCAGGGTCTCTATGATAAGTAAATTAGGAAGACCATAAGGTGAGGAGAGAAACAATGCATTCCAGGCAACAAGAATAACATGAGCAAAGGCATGAAAGTCAGAAGGGGGAGGAGGGGTGAAGTTGCAAGACAAGTCAGTTTGGCATTTAAAGTCCTTTGCAGTCAAGTTCCAATTTTCCTTTCCAGATTAACTTTATGTAACACTATGTAGTACTCCCCTTTGCCCACTCTCAGCTTCTAGTCAAATTCTCTTACTTGATGTTCCCTAAACTTAGTATCCAACTTCCCACCTTTGCAAAGGTGATGTCCCACATGACTGGAATACAAATACACCCCCCCTCACCCCCACCTCTTACAATTTCCAGTCCTTTCAAGACTCAAACCCTTTCACGGGAAGCCTTTCTCTCCTTCCTCAAATTATATTGTATTTCTTCATCTAAAAGGCTGTATCCAGAATGTGAGATTCTAGACTATTTTTTCATTTTGTTTCTGCAACCTCAGCACCTAGCACAGTGCTTTTGATCAAAGTAGGTACTTAATATATATGATTATTAGATTAGAAAAAAAGTCAGGCAAGACTAGAGGAGAGGACACCCTGAAAATGTGAAAAATAAGATTCTGTATATATAGAATAAAGGCAAAGTATGGATGAACTTGAAAGCCAGGCAGAGAACTTGAAGCAGCAGAAAACAGAGAACCATTAACAGTTTCTGAGCAGGAGAACTGATGTGGTGAAAGCTGGTATATAGTTTGGTGGGGGAGGTGGGGAGGGAAATCCCTCAGGAGCAACTGAGAATAATAGCCAGGAGGCTGCTGCAGCAATCATTCCTAGAAGATGACAATGGCCTGAGCTAATATAGTAGCTAAAGAAATGATTTGAAAAGAAAGAATATGAAAGACATTGCAAAGAAAAAAATAGAACTTCATGACTGACTGGCTAGAAGAGATGACAGAGCCAGATGAATCAAAATAACTTCAAAATTTAGAGCCTAGCTGACTCAAAAAATAAAAGTTGGGAGCAGGTAGGTGGTGCAGTGGATAGAGCACTGGCCTTGGATTCCAGAGGACCTAATTCGAAATCCGGCCTCAAACATAACACTTACTAGCTGTGTGACTCTAGGCAAGTCACTTAACCCCATTGCCTAACCAAAAAAATATAGTAATAAAAAAATAAAAAATAAAAGTTGGGAGAAGGGGCTACTTGAAGGATAAAATCTTAAGTGAATCCTATTTCAGCTATACCTAATCATCATATTTATGTATGTATGTATAATATATATATATATATATATATTATCAAACAAGAGCAGAAATATTGGAATGTGTTTGTAAACAAACCGAATTTAAAGTATAGAGCACGGGCAATAAAGTTGGACATAGGCCACAAAACATAGGTTGAAGCTAAGTTATGGTAGGCTTTGAATGCCAAGCTAAGGAGTTTGGACTTTTTTCAGTAGGCAACACAACAGGTATCTCACACCATTCCTTATCCTGCAATGTTCTTGACCCTCATCTCTGCTGAAATCCTTTCTATCCTCCTGATTCTTTCATTATCCTTTCCTGATTTTCCCAGAATTGAGGTTTTTCTTCCACAGAATTATCACACTCATAGTAAAAAAGGAAAGAAATTTATTAAGTGCCTACTATATTCTAGGCATTGTGCTAAATGTTTTTACAAATATTATCCCATTTAATCTTCACAACAATACTAGGAGGTAAGTGCTGTTATTATCCCCGTTTTACATAGTTGAGGAAAGTAAGGCAGACAGTTTAAGTGACTTGCCCTAGGAAGTGTCCAAAGTTGGGTTTGAACTCAGATCTTTCTGACTCTAGATACCCATCTGTCCACTGTGCCACTAGTATCTTTCTCTTTACACCTACCATGTTCTATTGTGTATTATGGGAATTTGTATGTATTTTATTTTTCTCATATTAGATTTTTTTAACTCCTTGAAGGACAAGGACTAAGTCTTATTTTTTAATGTTCCTCAGCATATAAACACAGAATGGATGCAATATTTGTTAAATGAAGAACCACTTTTCATTTTTCTCTAAGACTTGGGTAGAGGGTGGTGGTCAAAAGAAAGTGTAGAGAAGGGAGGGATGTAAGGATAAGAAGGAAGAAAGCTAGGGGAAGTGGGAAGGTTATAGAGTCCCTAATCAGATTAGGGGATTCTGGGAATGAAGAAATAGCTTCAGGCAGATATTTTTCCTGAAGAGAATCCCAGCAAACAACAAAGATTGGGGAAGGAGATTAGGATTGAAGAAGCTGCATAGCAATACCTTGTAAATTTACTAGACTTCAAAATTTATAATCAATTACAATCTACTGCTTGAGTAACCCTGCTTTAAGAAATGGGTAAGTGTTCATGTAAACACATAAGGCACAGGACAGCTACCTGCCACAGTAGGCGCAGTACAGAGTACTCTGAATCCTTTGGGATTCGCTTAGAAGGGAAGGGTAACATGTGGGAGTTGGGATCCCACTGTTAGACTGCCACAGAAGTTCTGGAAAAGAATTTTTCCCAGAATAATAAGAAAGCTTCCCCGCCCCCAGCACAGAAAGACCCCTTAGGGGAGGGTAGGGGAGGACAACTCTCAAACCCTAGGATCACACTTACTCAGTTGGCTTCTCATTCTCACTGGCACCTCAGTCTCACCACTACCACCAGCTTAGCTGTGTGGATGACAGGAGTTAAGAAGTTAGGAAGCCTGGAGTTCGGAAGACTGATCTTCCTGAGTTCAAATCTGGCCTCAGACACTAGCTGTGTGACCTAGGCAAGTCACTTCACCCTGTTTGCCTCAGTTTCATCATCTGTAAAATGAACTAGAGAGGAAATGGCAAACCACTCCAGTGTCTTTGCCAAAAAAACCCCAAGTGGGGTTCACAGAGAATCAGACTCAGCTGAACAACGACATAAGGTACACTCTAATTCCACTGTGGAAATGAGCTGGGTAATGATGATAATCTGATGTTTTCTTACTACAAATTACATACAATTAGTTCTCAGTTCATTACTGGTTCTTCCTTGCGGACAAAGGCAGCTAGCTGGCAGTGGATAAAGAACTAGGTCTGGAGTCAGGAAAACCTGAGTTGTGCAAGTCATTTAACTTGTTTACCTGTTTCCTTGCCCGTAAAATGAGAATAATAACAGCACCTACTTTGAAGAGTGGTTGTAAGATTCAAATGAGATAATATTTATTTATAAAGTGCCTGGCACATAGTAGGCCATATATAACTGCATTCCATTCCTTTGTGGGCTGATATGGAAATGAAAACTACAGTAACCTCCCTAGGTAGTTCCTTCCTGGTTCTGTAATTGGGGAGAAAATTTGACAATCTGATGAATTTAAAAATAATAAATTCTGAGTTAGAATTTATTATTTTCAAATTCATCAGATTGTCAGAGATTGGGAGATTGGTGGGAAATGAGAGTACAAAAAATCTTGCTGTGTAATTACAGAAAAAGGCTAAACATAGCTGCGCTTTAGTAATATTTAACTTTTAGATTAGATCGTGACGAATGAAATCCAAGGAAGACTTTGGTCACAGCCTACTGTAGGCTAGACCAGACAAGTCAACTGCCTTCCATTCCAGTCGTTATGGCAACCAGCGTCCTTGGTTACCGCTTTCCCAGGAAATCACAGAAGGCAGGGTTTCCTCAGCTATTTACAATGAAAGAACCCCCTGGTTCTGTGTTCTGCCGGGACTCGAGCACCCAGCACTTCCCGAAGGCCCGAAAATAAAAAGCAAAAGTAGTGAGAGTCTTCTCCTTGTCACGTTACGGTCTGCAGCGAATCACAGAATCTTAGCCCTGGAGGGAATCCTCAGGAGTCTACTAATCCAACCTGTAATAATTTACAGCCCACGGAGTGGAAAAGGCAGTGGGTATGAAGTCAGAAGACTAACTTGGGTTTGAGTCCCTGCTCTGTTAGGATCACATCCCTTGAACTGGAAAGGACCTTACAGATCATCTAGAATTATTCTAGTCCGAGCCGCTCATTTTACCGATGAGGAAACTGAGACCCAGAAAGTGAATTATTACAGTACTTGCCCAAAGACATACTAGTAAGCATCAGAAGTGGGGTTTGAACCCAAGTCCTCTGCCTCCAAAGTATCTCATGTTATGCTTTTCTGCATTACCTTGGACAAGACACTGGCCATTTTCGGTGTGACCGTAGGTGAGTGAAGTCATCCCACCTCTCTGGGCTCTTTTCCTTGTCTCCAAAATGAAGTGGTTGTATATGATCCTTGGAGTAGAAGGTCCCTTCCAGAACTAAGTCCTATGATCCTGTCAAGCACGTTTGCATCCCCTTGAAGGGAAGGCGGGGAATGTGTATTTCCTCTAATTCAGACGCCTCCCGCCCACCCGGGAATCTCTGCGGATAAGTGAGCCCTGCGATTCCTGCCGGGGGCTTGGACCCAAGCGACTCACATAGTAATCCTTGTACCACGTCTCCAATTTCTCCTGCAACATTCGACAGCATTCGTTGTTAACTAGTCTTCTTAAGCTGTCAGCCATGGTTGTTCCTTGGTTTTTACAAGTGTATGTCAATTTTGGGAGGGCAGAGGGCAGGAAGGATGTTTTCTTTCTAGACGGGTGGGAAGGAGACCCTTAGAGCCCAAAAGGAGTTTCCATTCTTTACCCCGGGGATCTTCAGCGCCTGCAGCGGCGGGATGCGAAGGGGTTGGGAAGGGGAAAGGGGGAGTGGAGGGGAGGTGTTCCGCCGCCCTCAGGAGGCTGCATCCGCGGCCCCTTAGGGTGCCCCTCCTGGCGCTGCCCAGACCACTGGTGCATATTTATACCCAGGCGATTATTAAACAAACTTTGACGTTTGCTTTGCTCGGCTGTCAAGGACGCCAGCGCGAAAGGGAGGGCTGATCTCAGTTGTAGCAACGCTTCCTCTTCCTTCCCTCCCTTCCCCTCTCTCTCCCAACCCTTTCCCACTCCCATCCCCTGGTTCTTGAAGCCTTTCTGCCACTTTTCTTGCTAGTTTAGAAGTCAAGACGGAGAACTCTACTCTGAACTTGCCTGTGATGCCGGGGCTGTTCTTGTTGCTGTTGATGATTTTGGTGCTACTACTAGTGTTGCTGCTTTCTGAAGGGGAAAACGAAGACCCAACAGAACAAGATCATTGAGACGAATTCCTAATGTCGACGGGAATTGACCCCGGAACCTGGATCCGGAAGATACTGTGCTGTAGAAAGGCATGACATGAATCTTGATAGAAAGGAGGGTCACCTATATTTTACTTTACAAAGCAGGAGCCACTAAAATCCTGAGCATGGGAACAGAAGTCAAAGTCAGAACCGTTCAAGTGGAACTTTTTACTCTTACACCCTAAATTCAGACTCTTCTCCCCTATTTCAGGTGCTGGGTATTGGGAGAAAACACCATGGCCCTCATTAAGCACCAGAGATGCAAGTTTTATTTTACGGCCTAATCATTGGTTCAGCTCTTAGGAAGCACCTGAAAGCCACTATGTTCGGATTCATTCTCCATCCCTTCACATCTATGCTTTCTGTTTTAGCAGGGACAGTTCCTTGAAGTGTAAGGGGGATGTGGAGAATTAGAGGGACAGGGCTTTAATAAGGAAAGAAAATGTTTTAAGTTGCCATCTCAATATCCTTAGTGTTATCGTAGAACATATTAGGAGATACTTCTCTCAAAAGGTACTTCTAAATAGAAAAAGTTTCCAAATCTAAGCTCCTGTGAAACCCTAACATGAAAACTTTGGCATGAAACTAGAGAAGGCAGATGTTACTTCAAAATCTAATTCAAATCTCTCTTGAGGTCTGTCTCACTAAATCAGCAAATCTTCCCTCCAACTACTTAAACCAATGGAATGAGCAAAACATTGTCTGTATGAATGGATTATGTCTCAGGGATCGCGTCCCTGACTGATGTAGGCAAAGTGGTCAGTGATGCACCTGAAACCACCATTGACCAAAAAGTTATAGTCTTACTTAAGTTTTCTCTTGCCTTGTTTTTTGGGTGCAGATGGATGGCTTTGGGGGTTCCAAGATGAGCACACATGAAGAATAACTTCTCAGGTTTGAAAGGTTTTAACGGTATAAAAAATTAACTTATTTGATAAAAACCTCATTAACTCAGAGTTTACTTAATTCAAAATCTGTGGTAATTAAGACAAGACTTGGGCATTATTTGTTTAAAGAGAATTTCCAAACAACAGTGCAGGGCAATTATTTTAATTAAGAAAACAAACTTTTCAAAAACCCTAAGCTCCTTAGATGACATACCATTCTTATCTGGTCTTTTAAGCCAGTTCCTCTGCTTAGTCTATTAATTGTTACTTTATGTATTTGAAAGTATTAAAACCATTTATTGTCAAATATTTTACAATTCTGACTCTTCACTAATTTAGGTCCCTACACAATTGTTCGAACTGGTGAAGTTTTACTGTATGCAAACCCAAAGAACATTTTTAAATCCTTCTCTCTTTCTGATCTTTTTTTTTTGTATAGTACAAAGAATAGAGTTATGTCCATATAGAAAAGACATATATATATATGCTGAGGTTCACACTAAATACTATTTTAACACAAATACACTTTTTGTAGGAGTTGAGAATGAGAGTAGAATGAGAGAAGTTAAAATTTTTTAGAAAAGATCTATAAAGATATCAACTTTAATGATATGCCTCTTTAAAAAGGACAGTGTGTGAAAACAATGTAAATTTGGTGAAAACAATGTTAATTTGGTGAAAACAAGTTTATTTGCCATGCAACCAGAACTGGCTTATTTGCAGAAAAATTCAAAATATTGTAAATGTATGAACAGCACTTCTCAAAAAAATTTGCTCTAATTTTATTTTTTTAAAATGTGCTTTCCTCCATTCCATTAATAATCTTGAAATCCTCACAAATATCAAAGAGAAATGTCTAATCCTATGATAGAATTGCATATCATCTTCACTAAACTGTTTCTCAGTCAAAATCTTAACATCCTCAGAGAAATACTGAACTAAATTTCACTACACTTGCTTCATGATAAAAATCCAAAATGGAACATGCTTTTTGTAATATAAAATGTCAGAGACTGCTTGTAGTACTATGAACATCCTTATATTGAAGCAATACAAGGATACTCTCAAGGTCTCCCTGAAGAACTCTGGCATCTATTGCTTGCCATGGGTGACACAGCATGGTGTGCCCACATCAAACAAGGCACTGTGCTCTACGATCAAAGCAGAATTGCAGTAGCTCAAAAGAAAAGTGAGATGCACAAATTTAGACATTTCCAATCCAAATGTTCATGTGGACTATTTGTGTCCAACCTGTGGTACAGCCTTCTGAGCTCACACTGGCCTTATCAGCCATAGTCAGACACACTGTACCCTGATGCCAGCATAGTGGTGCCATTTTGGTCCTCCTCAAGAAAGAAGGACAACTACCAACTCAGTATACGCTATCTTGTAATTTTAATTCTCTTTGTATCTCTATTTCTTCTCAAATAAATTATAAACTTCTTCAGGACAGGGTCAATGTTTTATATCTAATGCCCTTTGGAGTAGAGGATAAATAAGTATTTTCTCATAATGAAATTTAGAGATAGCAACAAGGAATTCAAAACAGATGATACATGCAGTACAGGTTCTGTTTGGATAATTTTGCTCTAGTTCAGTAGTTTTAGAAAATAGATGTTTGTGTCTTGGTGAAGAGGAAAGTTCAATTCCATTTTGAACTAGGTTGTAATTATTTGGGGGGGGACTGAGGCTCTGTAATTTAATAAATCAATATTCAGCTTAGGTTCTAAATGTATAATGTATATGAATATATACATTAAATGAATATATGTAAATGAATATATCATCCATTCCAATTCAAGGCTGACAATTCAGTTAATGCAAAGCCCTAGTTATAATATTGGTATCAGTCCACCTGTATTTTCTAATAAAAAAACATAGAAGTGAATTATATATTCTGAACACAAATTATTCTATGCTCTTTAATGGAACAGTTAATATTCCTAACTTTGTATATACGAGTAAACAAGAAGTTGTTTTCCATACTATTGTATGCCTCTAACATAATTCAAGATCTAGAAATATCAAAATACTTGAACCACATAAAATCCAAACATTATCCTTAAAGCTCTTAGTTTTTACACAAATGAATGTGCTACTACTGTATCAGGATGAACGATATTTTAGGAATATGAGATAAATATAAAATCCAGTACAATTCCACATATCTAAAGATATCTTGTACACTAATACTGATGAGTCCAAGCAAAGTTTAAAATTCAATATGAATACAACTAAGGCTTTTGGAATCCACATTTTTAGCTATCTTAAAGCAATTTAGCTGAAGGGAATTTGACTGATTTGTCTTGTCCTGCTTTAGAAGTGAGATTATTCAAACTACATTTCTTACTAATCTTTCTGGAAATATATATTTTATCTGTGACATAAGTCAAATATAAAGTTGAGAGTTAAAATTAAGAAATCATTCCAAATAAAGTAAATATAGTATACACAAGAGGTGTCAAATCCACTACCTAACCTGCATTTGACTAGAACCAGTTTAAAATGTAATTGGGAAATAATTAACTAAATTATAATACAATAAAACAGATAATGTCAATATATGTCAATTCTAAGTATGCTGCCCCCAGGGATCCTCATGTATAGTTGGGTGCACCCATTTGTATTTGACACCACTGGTATACACAATTGACAAAAGGAAAGAGAAAGAATGAAAAGAATATGATTGGCTATTTTACCTCTGATGTCATAATCCTGGTAGAAAAGAAGTTAGAAAGAAAAGATGACATTCAGTTTATTGATCTTCTGATGCCATAATCCCAACATCTAGCAGTGCACCATTTTTTTTCTATAGAACAATCTAACATAGCATTACTGTACCATTTTAGCACATAAAAATATGGTACAGTTATAGTGGCTCATATTACTAAAGATCTTCCAATGTTATAATCCCAATATCTAGCAGTGAACCATTTTTTTCTATAGAACAATTTAACATAGCACTAGTATACTTTGAGCACATATAAATATGGGATATTTACAGTCACTCATGTTACTAAAGAAGAAAAGGCCCAGTGTGTAATCTTTAAGGGCCAAAATTGTATGGTACACTGGAAAGAGTACTGGCTTGGGACTCAGAAGATCTGGGTTCCAGTCCTGGCGCTACCATGTCACTCTATGATTTGGAGTAAGTCATCACCTTACTTTTCTTATCTGTAATATGAAGAGATTGGTCTAGATGGTAAGGTCTCTTTCAGTTCTGATGTTTTACAATTCTGTGATAAGATCCCTGCTGTCCAAAAGTATTTTCACCACGTCACTTGAAATTCCCACCTTACAGTAAAAGTTAACAAATAAGCAAAGAGCTCTGAAATTCAGAGGTCAAGGAAGTAGCTATGGAGTGCAGGGTATTAAGAAATTGTCAGGAGCAAGTCAGTCCCTGAGAATTTACCAGGTCAAAAGTGCAGTTGAGCTATGGTATCTGGAGGATCAGGGACAAGTCAAAGATCTGAAAACTATGAGATCAAAGTAGAAGTGGAAAGAGGCAACCAGCTCCAACTAGTCAAGAAAAACAATGGTTTAGATTCCAAGAGCACAAGGTAAAGCAAGACAAGAGCACCAGAAATCAGAAGTCAAGAGTAACCCTTATCCTAGGGAAAAGAGCTCTAGCCTTCCGGCCTCTCCTGATGAGCATTTACTGCCCAG